AGAGTGTGGCTTCTGCAGTCCAGAAGAGACACTGGAAGCAGACTTGTCTTCAAGCCCAGTGGAAGAAGAAGGTTCAAATTTTCAAGCAGAGACATCTGTCCAAATAATAGGACCTAATATTTACCACTCAGGACAGACGGTGACCGTAGTTTAAACAGCGCTTACAAGGCCCAGTGCTCCAGGAAGAAAGTCCTTCGTACTCTGAAAAATTACTAGGTGTGGAAACTTAACATGACTCCTAATAAAACTTCAAAAGTAGGTAATAGAAGGTGTTTCACGATGTTGAATCCTCCAAATCCTCCACATTTGTGACTCCTAAGCATTCTGATCTAACTACTGCTGGGATTTTTAAAATGCATTTTGTTTTAACTCAGTATTTGTCAGATGGATCTTTGTTTTCCGACACAACTCCTGTGACTAAGTCTAATTCTGCATTATTGCCAGTTGTTTTTCCACCACTCTAGAATGTCAGTAACACTAGCAAATCTCGGAGGAGGTTATGTTGTATCACACCTAAAACTTGATCTTGGCCAAAATCTTAAATCCACAAGATGAATTACAGACTTAAGTAAAAGCCCTTATGTACTTAACAGCAGCAAAATTTTCCATTACAAATACTGTTTTTACTCTTCCTTAATTTGAAAAAAAAAAAGTGCCTTGAGGGGGCTTTGAATTTCCAAGCCTTCTAGATCAAAGATTTCTGGAGCTGTCTGAATTATAGGAATGCTGAAAAACAAAAACAAATCCTTTTCCTGCTATTTTGTCGTTATGTAACTCAAAACGGCTGAACTGAGACATGAAGTTGGTGAGTCCTGTTCAAAACCTAAAAATTCATCAAAATGAAGTAGTTGATAATTCCAAAAGTGTCATTCCAACTAATCTGACCCAAAAATAAATTTTACTGGATTCTCATTTGATGATCCAGAAAATTGCAAAATAACACTTGTAAGAGAACAAAATAGATTATGGCTAAGAATACCAAAATGTTTTAAATTGTTTTTTAAAGTGATTCGAGACTAAATTATAATAATTTGGGCTTGGTAGTGTTATCCAGTGTAAATTTTCCTGATTCCACACTAGCCCACAGCTACAAATGTGTCCTTTTAGTAACATGATCGGCAAAATAGTGAACTGTTTATTTCAAAAGCTTTTGCAGAAAACATTAGACTATAAAAAGTAACAGTTTGTATTTTCATAGTCATCAGTTTGCTGATGTTTTTGGTATGAGGCCTGACTCTCTCGGTAAACAAGAAATAAGCTGTTTTTTGGCAGGGGTGTGTCCTTCACGCATCAGTCATCTGGCATAACAGGTAAAATGGTCACTGACCACCTGTGCACTGGTGGCCTCAGAATTTCAGCACTTCGAGAATGAACCACTTTTTGCTTTGTGACTAGAGGGATGTCATTTATGCTCACACTAATGAACAACTACATACCATATACGGGGTAAAGTGTGTGTCCTTATGCAGGAGCAGTGGCTATGTGCCGTCTGACATTGGAGACAGGAGGCACCTTGCATGTATAAGAGCTCATTTGTTTCCAAATTCCTCCCATGTTACCTTTATTTAAAAT